CGGGTAGGCCAACCCGCCAAGGAGCTATGTAGTGCCGGCCGCAAGCTACGCTCCTGAGGCGCCTGCGAAGTGTCGGGTAGGCCAACCCGCCGAGCAGCTATGTGGTGCCGGCAGCACGCCCTGCCAACCGTCAGCGCCCTAACCCCAGCACAGCAGTGGCTGTGCGCGGAGGCGCATGAAACGAGGTGAACGCGAACGCCCAGAGAATGTTCATTGTAGTGGGGGCATCTCAATACATCCAGTGCGAATGACAAGTGGCCCTAAAGCTTTGCTTTGCTTTCCAGTGGCACAACTACCCACATTCTACTTACACTAGGGCGCTTGGCCGAACAGACCGGCTGCCTGGCGAGGAGGAGGAAGCAGACGAGTACCCGGACTACCATATCGCCATGGCACTTCCCTGGAGCAAGGCGACAAACGCAACACGGCTCGTGTCGCGAGGGCAGCGACTGGGCCGCCCTAGTGCAGGGCCTGCAGGGCCCGCAGGCCGCACGGCGAGGCAAACGCAGCGACGTCAGAGTGCCGGCCGCGCAGCCACCGCCACTGGTGGGACTGAAGCTAAAAGTGCCCTAATAACGAGGGGTTTCATTTATTGTCGCGCCGCTGGAGGTACTCGTGCCGGCGCTCCCAGGCCCGATCGTATCAGTGTCGCTATCATATACTGCCCCGTTCAAAACGTGACGTAGGTTGGGATACGCGTGACGAAAAGTAAACAAAGGCGACTCGACCGAAACGGGCGCCCAAGAAAATGTCACTTACGTAAAACAATTTTTTATCGTCCTGATTTCATGATTTAGTCATGTTGGTAGCGGTCTTATCGCGTTGACTAATTTTTTTTTGACTGAACATAATATTTTGACTAAAATTCTTGACCAAATGTTTTGTTGACTTCAGGGAGAACATTTTCATTAATCGAAACTCTTTTTGTCATTTGGACAAATCGCTTTTCTAAGTGCGTCTCGCGGAGCTGGCGTTTATTGAGGGTCGGCATACAGGCGGTCTCTCAGTGAAAGAACTGGACGGCGGCGAGGGCCTCGGCGCTGGCGGTGCGGGTGCGCGGCGGCGCGGAGGGTGAGGGTGCGGCGGTCACGACGGAGACGCGGCTCCAGTTGCGGGTGCGGCGGCGCCCATAGGCGGGCGGCGGCGGCCCTTCGGATAGGCGGCTCCAGCGGCGGGTGCGCCGGCGCGCGAACAGGACGCTCAGCCGGCGCGTCTCCAGGAAGCGGTCCACCGTCCTCTCCATGGCGGGGCCGACCGTCTCCAGGGCGCAGAGCGTGCCGCAGACCACGTAGCCGGTGGCGAGGACGAGGTACGCCGTCGTGGCGGCCGTCACCGTCAGCGCCGAGATGGTGGTCTGCGTGGCCGTCGAGTCGTCCGTCGAGCAGGGCATGCGGAAGGGCCGCACGATGCGCCGGCTCAGCCCGCGCTCCAGCGCCATGAGCAGCCTGCGCAAGGAAGGCGGCGCACGGAACAGTTGTATAGGGAGGGGTGGAGGTGCTTCTCTCACGACCATCTATACTGGAGTTTACGTCCCGATAAGAGAAGCTTTACGATGAAGTCTTCGACTAGGAAACATATACTGTCTACGGGGATACATTTACCAACGGCCTCCCAAACAAAGGCATTAAACGCCAATGAACTGCCCAAAAGGTGCTAAAAATTAGTGCCTTTGGCACTTTTAATGCCTTTGTAAAGTGCAGTCCCAGATACAGAACCTTTTTTTCTTTCTTTTTTTTCAAAAAGTCCAGGTTGGAGTTTGAAAGTGGAAATAGGGATAAATTCACGTCCTGTTTGCAGGTAGTGCAGTTTTACGTTACCATAACGTCTCAAAATATTGCATTAAACTTAAAATGTAAAAGGTGAGCATAGGATGGGGGGCCGACCTCTCTTCTCACCCGCATTTGATGTGGTCGGCGAGAGGCCAGTGCTTGCGCGCCGCCGAGTACAGCAGACTGCGGTCCGCCTCGATGCGCGAGTAGCGCACGGAGCACAACTGCTGGCTGGTCATGATGGGGTTGAGCTGCTTGGCGACCGCCGTGCTGTCCCCGACCAGGGCCACTTTGTCGTTCTTCAGCATGTGCGCGCCCGTGCCCAGGCTCACGAACCCGGACGAGGTCTCGGAGGACAAGTGCCGTCGTCGGATATCCTGGACGTCCGGGTTCTCCGACGTCTGCGACGTCGGGGAAAGTCAGCGTGGAGGTGTTTGAGCCTTAGAAAAGCTTTCAACGTCAGACCGACCCACCTCAAACAAGTCCTTGAAGTAGGCGAAGTCGTCGGACACGACCCGGTAACCCTCCTCCAGCACCTCCTGGGGGGTGAGCGGCGGCCGCGAATCCTTGGCGAGCAGGCCGAATACGACCGAGGACTGGTAGTAGGTGAAAACGACCGTGTAGGTGAGCCCGCCCACCACCGTGCCCAGCTCCACCGAGATGAGGTGCGTCGAGTTGATGCCGTAGTGGACGCCTGCGGTCAGAGCAGCGGACTACAGTGGTATGGCGAACCTCGTCATCGGCGACCCCGCCCCACCCATGCCCGCTCACTTCCCCAGGAGATGCCGGCCGTGCCAAAGATGAGCGCGGCGCTCCACGGCCCCAGGTTGCCGAAGGCCTCCTCCAGGTGGAACTCGTCCGCGATGAGCAGCAGCAGCGACATCATGCCGAACATGACGAACACGCCGGCCCACGAGCCGCTGGAGAAGGGCGTCACCATGCTGTTGATGGCCGAGGAGGAGCGGGTGGGCATGCGGTAGACCAGGGCCGTGCTGAGGCACCAAACAAGCACAAATTACCTTCATTCTGGGGTGAGACCCCCCGGTCCCCCCGCTTTCAGTCTTACTCAAAGGTGACGAGGTTGTAAGAGATGAACTGGACACACTTCAGGCGACTCTCATCCATCCAGATCTGCAGGCCAAAGTCAAACTCGCCACTCTGCAGGAGGCCGGGTATGCCCGAGCAGCTACCGTTCGACATGGCCTGGCCGCCACCGCTGTCCACCGTGCGCATCGCAAAACTGATGAAAAAAACAGTTACTCATTCGATGAATCTAGTAAACGGAACAGAAGTACTGTTGTAAGAAGATATTAATGTGGTAAATGGAGGGGAGCGAAATATGGAAGGCAAGTAAATATTAAATAATCGCGATTGCTCACAAGAGGGTGTCACCTATCCGTTTCCTCACTTATTGTCACTTCGAGTCACCTCAAAGTTTGCATTATACACCTTAATGGAAGTTGTTACAGTCACACTGAGAAGACAAGAAGTTTCCACTTACGTAAAGTTGTATAGTTCCCGCATTAGATCAAACAGCCGAGGGCCCTGCTTGAAAATGTCGGCGGGGTCCTCGTCCCGGATGAAGCCCTCCAGGTACAGCGGGAACTGGTTCCAGCCCAACTGGGTGCCGCGGATGGCCTATGGACGAACACGTGAGGCGTGGTGAGGGCGGGCCGAGGCAGGCGGTGCTGGAGGGGAGAGTCACCGAGACTTCTCACCTCCCCGACGGCTCGCACCGTCAACCCCGTGAAGTCCTTCCTCTTGGACGGGAAGAGGCGGAGCGGCTCAACCACGAGAGGCATGTCGTAGTACACCTTGTACACGTCCAGGGCGACGGGCAGGTACGGCGCGGCGATGGCCAGCTGCGAGTCCACGGACAGGTTGAAGGACCCGACCACGTAGAAGAGGTCCGTGGCCTCGGCCGGCTTGCGCCGCGGGTCCCACAGGAAGACAACGAACGACGAGTTGAAGAAAGTCGGCGGGTGCTAGTGGCCATAGATAGATAATGGTCAAGAACGAACGAACGAACGAACGAACGAACGAACGAACGAACAAAACAAACGTAACAAACGTAACAAACGTAACAAACGTAACAAACAAACAAACAAACAAACAAACAAACAAACAAACAAACAAACAAACAAACAAACAAACAAACAAACAAACAACGACGCACTGTGCTCAGATCCTGCAGGACCCCCGGGCACGCCACGTCAATGAAGACCCCGATGCGATTGAAGTGGATCTCCTGGAAGCGGAGAAGCGCGGCGGTGTGGACCGGTCGGAACTGTACCGCGACTGATCCGGCCGAGGCTTCCCGTATGAACGACGCCATGTCTGAATGAGACGCAACCAAACTAATTAGAAACATGGTATATTCTACCCTTAAGTATTCTTCTTGACGTGCTAAATTGAAAGTGCATTTATTTAGGCGCGGGGTAAACCTGGTTCGGAGCACTGGAACGAGATGACCTCCCACGCCTGGCGTGTCTGGAAGTACAGAACTGCAGTCTGGAGGTGGCCGTCCCCTGAGGGCCCGAAGGTACTTCCCTAAGAACAAAAGCCATTTGAAAATAACAGTACAAGAAGCATGGAGTCACATAAATGACCCTACACCCCTAGAACCATTTTGTGGATTCGACAAGATCGGGATGGAATGAAGCCAAATTTAGTTTCTGAAACCAACTGCGGTGTAGTAGCTACATTTTAGATTCTGTCTTCCATCAAAACTAGGGTAATTTGATTCAATTTCATGAGACCTAAAGTTTCATTGGTTTTGAATTTGGTTTCCTGCATTGAACGGTTCTCTAGGTGACACTCGTCGATCAGGTGAGGAAAACATAGGAAAACGCACTCGTGGTTCGCATTTGGAAAACAACAAAAGCAGGAGACATATAAGTGGAATATGACGAGAAAGGAGTGGCATTCTGGGTGAACTCGCGGTGAGACGGCCCGCAGCGAAGTGCACCGTGCGTTGTGTGAAAGGGATGTGAGAAGGGGAAAGGGTGAAGGGGGTGGAGAGGAAACCGCAGCCAGTCCACGCAACCTCGGGAAAACCTCAAATGCGGCTTGTTCGATAACATGGGGAGGACAGGTGCACCCCGCAACCACCACCATTTGGAATTAGATCACCTTCTGAATGGCATGTACTGCGCAGCACGTTCGTACAAATGAGTTCTCTGGGCTGAGAGAAGTTGCCTTGTAAACGCAGATTAAGACAAGGTTTGCTGTGCCTCAAACTTGGAGATTAGTCACGAAACGAGGAAAGTAGTGGGGCAAGGTACAGCGCGCGAACCGCGAAAAAAACAAAGCGCACTGTAACACTGAAAACTGCGGAATAACGCATGTCATCACTAGATGATAACGCGGTGCACATTTCAGTTTTTGTAAAATATTTTCTCAACGAGCGCTGAAATTTAATTTTTGAAAGCACCATTGAATTTTCCGTTAAATTTCCGATCAAACGAGCCTACATGTGATAGGGTTCTGAACAAAGGTTCTCTAAGAACACGTCTTATTCCGTATTATTATTTCAACTCCGAACCCTATCACATGTAGGCT